ACAAAAAAACTAATGTAATGCGCTTTTGTAAATCAAGCTTAAATGAACGAAATTATAATTGAAATTTAAACATAACAGAAATGATGTTTTTGTTTAAATGTTTCGCTTATTGAAGAATAAAACTGAAAGCATTTTTATTTCCAGTTGCGGGGAATAGAAATAAATACAAGTAGAAAGAACAGTAAACAAATCTGAATGTATGGCTTCATTAAAAATATATTTTGAGTTCATTTACTTTATATAAAAATTATTTCCATACGTTATAAAGATTGGTAAGTTGTAAATTATTAAATCCTTGTTTATAAATTGACACGTAAACCGAATAAAAACGCTGTCATTATTAGATTTCTAGCAAGCTTGCTAAATGGAGTTTTTACTTTAATACTTTTTTATTTTACGAGTTTCATTATTTTAGCTACGTCTGTATTCAAACAGTTGTTACTGTTTTAAAATATGTTAAAAAATGTTTTACTACCCACGTTCAAATTGCGTTTAAATATAAAATAAACTATAGAGTTTTAATTAGATCATGTATTTTGTAAATTATTATTTTTCTTTCTATTTAAGGAATAATTATTTATTTGATTAGAGTACTAACAAGAATCAACTTCAGTAATTTGTTTTTGAGCTGAAAAATTGAGGAAAAGACATAATTATGAAATAAAACGAAAATTAAACTATTTTCGATTTCTATAGCCTCTTTCCCTTAAGAAACTATATTCTTTTTTCACTCAATTATTTTTATTTTGAAGTTGGCTTTACTTGGAAACCAACCCATGCATTTCACTTTATCCACATGATATAGAGAAACTGCTCGATGATCTAATTAAGAGTTGGCTAGAATACTGCTTTGACTACGAGAAGGCGTTAACTATCTTAGCTGAAATGAACAGAGCCTTGCGGCCGTCTGTTGTTTGGAGATCAAACTACCCGTAACGGACACATTTTACCTTGTTAATTAGTGAGACATGCTCCTTCTGGGGCCCATTCCAAATGGCTTATTTGAAAACACTTAACTTGGGTATTAAGGAAAATAACGACAACTCCGAAAATCAAATAGAAAAGGATCTAATTCGATTCATATGATGTAAAGCAAACATTGCTTGTGAACAACACAAATTTTTATAAATAAATGATAATATTTTTTAAATTGTTTAATACATATAGTTCATTAAAACGCACTCTGTGCAAGTGTTCTTGCTAGTTATTCATTTCTATTGCTCTTTTTCTGTATAATATATCTAAGTTTAGATTTTGTGTACATAAAGTTTGATTATTTTAAGCTAATATGAACCATTATTAAGATATTGAATGATAAAATTTTATTTGTTATTTGAATATTAACTCTTAAACAATTAATTATTAATTAAGTAAATTGAAACCCTAAAATTAAACCTATTGCAAAATTTAAAGAAGATTAGGAACCACAAAAATACGAAATAATAAGTTGCGTGGTCATTAAGGTTTATCGTGTGTAATCTGTGCGCAATAAAGTTTAAAAAAATGACACAATGTCAGCACATAATCAGTAATATAGATTATTTAGTTAAAAAAATATAGAGCCTGACTCATCACCAACTTCTAACCTTAATCATAACAAATTAAAAAGTCATATAATGTATGTATGGATTTTTAGTGACCGTTTTACACCATGCTAAACATATTATGGTCTGACAGCTAATCAACATAAGTTATTGGTTTTAAGCAAATGTACGCTAAGTAACAGATTAAGAAGAATTAATTCTACTTATTATTAAGTATTGACAAAAAATATATGCTACACTCACATTAGATACGACAATTCAAAAAATTATAATTAAATGGGTTTTGAAAGTTTAACAGAATCACAGAAAACGATAAAAGCAGTTTTCAAGATATTTTTGCTATTTTGCGCAGTAATGAAACTACTATAAATTGGCAAAAATTCAAATTTCTTTTTGTGTGAATTTTTATTTTATTTGGTATGCATTGTTATCCTTATATGTATGCACAAACTATTCCCAATTGTCTCAAAGAAATAGTTGTTTTAATAATGATAATGAATCATAGGATTATAATAAACCTGGATATATCATAGTTTCTGAGTTCAAATAATTCGTTTTAACGTAGATAGGTTATGAAAAATTTAAAAAAATTTAAAATCTTAAAATAAGAAATGTTTAAATGATTTAAACAGTCCCTATTTTCTGTAAAACGTAGTTATATTAAACACAAATTTAGCGATGCTATTATTTCAAATTTTACCTAATGTGGAAATTAGGGGATGAGACATATGAGAAATTATAAAATTGCTTTGAAGCTTATCTGAGCTGCTTCATAAAATAAATCGCGCAAATATCAAGTAAATTAAAATAGCATTATTATAAGACATAAAATATACTAAAAAAACCCTTCTAAAAATGTTAAAGTAAAACTTACAACAAACATGAACCATGGCAAACAATAATACAGAAACCAACAGATTTTAAATATTTATTACTGATAATACAATCATAAATATGAAAACATATTTCTCTAACTTTCCTGAAGAAGTTTAGTCGTCTTACTGTATAACTAATAGTACTAACTGTATAACTACATAGATTGAATAAAAATACTTAATATTGAAACGAACTTTCTTATACCAACAAATATAGCTGGCAATTGATGTATTGATTGAATTATGCGCACATGGTTAACTACTATAAATGACACATAAAGCAGCCATCTTATCATAGGATTAGGATTGATGTTTAGAAATTATAATTATGACATGCGATAATATCTTTAAATAATCGTAAATAATCATCTATATTAAATATTCAATAAATAAGGCCTAAATAAATTATCATATGCATCTATGAAATTGATTAAAACCACAGTACTGAGGTTAGTATTTAATTTAATTATCAGAATATTCGTATATTCAAAATAAATCTTATAACGAAGAAGTGATAGTATACTTTATCTAGAAAATGACTAACAGTTTAAGGAAAATGCATGATACATAGGGACAGATTATAAATTTACTTTTCTGTCTTTCTAAACATGTTAAGCTTCATTTAATTAAATGGTAAATTCATTGTATTTGAAAAAATTTTTTATTAATAATTAAAGGGCTGTAACTGTCAAAAATGTATATCATTTTTTTTATACAAATATAAAAAAAGAACAAAATATGTTTGAATTAATCATTGTGTTTTTTTAAATTAATCAAAAATAAATAGTTTCTTTTTTCCATAAACTAAGACAGTTGTCTCAAAAAATAGGTCATGATGAAATGACTGCGAAGCATGTTTTTTACTGTTACGTCGTATTATTTTGTGATATAAGTATATATAATTTTTAGTTTAAGCGTAAAAATTTCTAAAACACAAATTTAAAAGTCAAAAGATATTACGCAGCATGGCTTTGATCACTCAGTTTCAAATATCGAACTAACAATATTAATAATCATGAGAGAAATAATAAAGTTCAAAATATTTTCATGATATATCAAATAGTGTGCTCGTAATTATGTGTGATCAAAATTTTAAGACTCAAAGTAATAATTTTTTGCGAGTACCATTATTTTTATAAAAAAAGGTTTTGACGAAATATGTTAGTTGAAATACTTTTAATTTTTAAAATTGCGTTTTCTTAGAATTTTAATAGTTTATTTTATTACTAAATCTGTTATTTTTCGTTATTGCTAAACGTAATCAACGTAAAGTTCAAATAAATAAACTCATTCTGTAGGAAAATGTAAAATTGTCTTTAATGTAATCAAGAAATCCCCTGTAATAGAGTTTGAAAATTTCTAAGAAATAATTCAATTACACCTTGAAATGCTTTAGCCTTCTGGAAATAAACACTGCAGATAATATATTAAGTTTAATGTGGAATTTTGCCAGTCAGAATTTATTTGGTAGATGAGCTTAAAAGTTAGACACAATTAAATCAAATTAAGATTTATTTTTAACTATCAGTAATGATCTTTAAAAATTATTTAAAATTTTCTAGTTTGTTTTAAACATTGTTTTATCAAGAGCATATCAAAAGGTGTCGAGCTTTATTAATTTAAAAATCCCTCAAATTCAGATTCTTAAGTATTTTGATTCAATTGTTTATAAATATTTGATTATATATATATATATATATTTGATAAACTTATTAGAAATATTTGAACGATAAATTCATTAGCACTTTTGATTTTAGTGATACCAGAGCATTATATGAAGAAAAAAATTATACAATTTGTTTAAAAAAATAGTTTACTATGATAATCCAAATGTTATTTTTCTTCTGCTTTTGAATACTCATTTTTCTATCATTTTAATTTTTTTGAATTATGAAATTTAGTTACTTTCTTTCTGATCTCCATTGAATAAAATTTTCTTACACTGAAGACATCGTTTATTTTAAGTAGGCAGAAAAAGAAATTTTTTCCCTTTTTATGAATTGAAATACATCAATTTCAGAAGCACTTTTAAACAGACAACTAGTTATAAGAAGGTTTTTTCCCTAAAGAAAGTTTTAACAGCAATTTGAAATAAAATTTTAAATTAAGTAATGTGCATAAAACATAATAATCAAGACAAAATACGTTGAATAATATCTCATCAAACTATCAGATTTCAAGACAAACTTTGTCAACTGTAAGTTCAAAGTACATGAATAATATATGCTTCTTAATTATGTGTAGACGATAATTTAATTACGATATTGAACTGAAAACTTATGTTCTCTAAGTTGACATTTGTTTTTCTTTTCTTATCATATTAATATTCTTATCATACCAACATTTTCTCCAAATATAAAATGAAACTATTACTTGAATGCATCATAGTATAGTAAGAAAAAAAGTTTGGTCAAACTTTCAAATTAAATTTTAATACTACTTGAAACTTTTTAAGAAGTATGTTTGTTTTCAAATTTTTAAAAAATATAGGGGAAATCATTGCCTTATATTATCTTCAGCACCTACTTGATAGTCGTACTTAATAATATATTAAGATCGTTTACTATTATTCTGTTTTCAGATGATCAGTTAGAATTTAGAGATAAAAATGGCCACTTAGTTATGTATTCCGTGCGTACTAAATCATCAAAGGTTATTTTAGAGAATACAACTTTTGTAAGTATATTGTTTTATAAGTATTTAATGTACACATTTTGTTCTATTTTAAATCATTAGTAAGTTATAACAAGCAAATATTCTAATTTCTTGAAAGTTCTTGGTCCTTAAGGAAATGTTTAAAGTTTTAATTCTTCATAATTTCTACAATTTAAGAAATATGTTTCAAATAAAATGATCTCAATCATGCATCTCACCATCATTATATTAAACTCTATATAGAATACCTGTATTCAAAGGCAAAGTAGGAAATTACTTGCTATTTCGCAAATTTTCAAGCTATTTCGAAGAATAAGTAATGTAAAAATCTACAGGCATTCTTTAATTATATAATTAAGGAAGTTATATAATTGTTTTATACTTTTCATTTTTCATTTTATAGAAAGAATAGACATTTTATAAAGTTCTCATCTTTCATACTGTGCTAAAGGATAAGGCTTTCTATAGAATGTCCGGAAGCGATTTTATAATCCAGTGACGTTTAACGTCCCACTCCCCAACATAGCATTTTTTTAAATAAAAAAAACATGATTCTTGACATTGTTTTAGTTCAGGTAAAAAATTTTAAAAATAATAAAAGCTAGTATTAAAATTGGGACTAACTACAGTCTAGAATAAAATCTCCAAAGGAGGGAGCCAGTCGTTAAAGGCCCCTGGATTGTAAACTAGCTGTCCGGAATAATACATTGACAGTAAAATATACAATTGGTATATTTGTGCTAGAATGAAATTTAATTAAAAGTAGTTAATTTTTTGTGTATTTGTAACATTAATACTAGTAATTAAATCTTTTGTTTCACAGCCATATTTTACTTAATGCATTTTTTATTATTTTCAACAGTCTGATTACGATGTAAAGAAATACAGTATATCGGCCGATCACAATTATGTTCTCTTGCTTCACGATGTAAAAAAGGTACACTGTCTTTATTTTTTATAAAGTTTAAGTAAAAATCTGTTGCATTTTGGTACTATCATAATTTAAAGTTCTTTAATTCCTGATACAAAATATTTTTCTTCTTTTCCAGCTTTATAGATATTCATTTAATGCAAAATATAAGATTTTTGATCTAGAAAACAAGTGAGTAGGGAGTTTTTATATCTATAGATGCTGTTTCCTTTCAGGTTTGTAGTTCAACTTAAAAGATGAACCTAAATAGTTTTAACGAAAGGAAATCAAACAATTTAGAAAACTAAAAGCTTAAATTGAGAAATTTTTAAGTTTCAAGCCATGTGTCTTGAGTAGCGTAAAATAATAAATGGTTATAGCATAAAAAATTGATGTGTGTAACTTTCCTTATTCTCAATATCTTTATTTTAAGCAGGGCTGATTGTGCTCCGGAAAAAATCCGGATTTTCAGAATTTTCGCTAACAGTGTCCGGAAGTTTCCGGAAATCAAATTTTCAAAGGTTTATTTTATTTTATTTGTTTGTAAGGGAGAGACAGAGATATACTTTATAACCTTATATTCATGATTAATAATATCGATTTTTTATCAGTAAACAGTTGTTATAATCATAAACTCAAGAAAGACATATTTGTAAATTTTAATTACTTCTCCAGGTCATCATAGGTATGTGTAAATAGTATAGGTATGTGTAAAATTTTAAATATATTTTAAGTAAACTAAGAAATATTGAGAAAAAGGGTAAAAAACCTTGTTTAAATTTTTTTCTATTTTTTCAATTCAAACTGTCTTTTTTTTTAAATTTTTTAAACTCAATTTTCCGGAATTTTGACTTGGGCTCACAATCACCCCTGTTTAAGTTAAAAACAAAATAATTTAGAAATAGTTATTAAATTTTCTTGAAAGACATAAAATATTATTTTTTTTCTCTTTTATCTTAGTTATTATAATCAATCAATAGCATTTATGAAGCAGTATCACTTAAAAATAATTTTAATGAAATTGTATTTCCTAATTATGTATTTCCTTTCCTTTTTAATTTGTGCATTTCCTTTTAAAAAATTGCTTTCAAGAGTTAAAGATTTTTTAGTCCCTTACTTGATTAATTAAACACTCTATTAAAAATTTTATAAAGCTTGAACCATAATAGTATCAAATAAAGCTGCTTTATCCTTTTCTAAGATATACCTTATTATCGTGAAATATGATCCTACTAAGCCTTCATATCTCAATATTGCAGATCATCTTTAAGGGAAACGTTTAAATTTTACACATTATAAAAGACATTGCAAACTTTACACGGCATTGAAGGTATGGATACTATACCTTGCCAGATTGGTTCAGGTGTTGTCAGAATTGGTTCAATTGGTGTCAGAATGGTTCAAAAGAGTTTTATATAATTTTCTTGCAGTTACAAGTTCGAAAACGCACAATTGATATGAATAGGTAAATAAAAGTGTCTTTAGTTGATTTATAAAAATACTAAATCATATGATACATATGAAAGAATAAATGTCTGCCATTCTACATATTGAATGAAATTTTTATCGTATTATTAGATAATATAGATTAGATATTATAATGCAATTAATAATAAAGGCCATGGATTGTGAACAACATTGCCGTAACTTTTATATTGTCTTTGAGGAATAAAGAATGAAAAGAAAAACAATTAAATATATATTTAAAAAAAGGGTTTTCGGTTTTTCTGCTCCGAAAAACTTCAGTTACTTTAAAAACTGCAAAATGTAATGCAGTAAGTTTCGTTGAAAAATATAGTTTAACGTTTTCCTAAATGTTTGGATTAAAATGACTATTCTATTACAGTTCATTTCATAAAATATGCTACCTGCTGTTAAAAGTTCATAGCTGTTTAAAATAATTGTTAACCAGAATAAATTAAATTTATAATTTTCTAAATAATGTTTATTTTAAAATTTCTAGAACGGTTTCACAACTGCATCATCCTGAGGACTTTGAAGGATATTTGCAGTATGCTGCATGGGGCCCTCGTGATAATCAATTAGTAAGTTAATATTAGTAAAATTGTTATTAGGACAAGTATAGAATTAGTAAAATTTTTATAAATGAAAAATTATGTAACTGTAATTTATATAAATGCATATACAGATATCGTACGTAAGAATAGCTATAATAAATTTTTAAAGAAATACAGTTTATTAGCAAAAATATACGTTACCCATTGATGTCTTTTTATTTTTTGGATATAATTGTTCATCAAAACTACTTGCTGTTTAAAGCGCATTGTCTTAAATTTAAATCTATAATGGATATTAATTCAATATTTTTAATTTTAACATTTTTAATAGGTTTATGTTTTCAAAAATAATTTGTAACTTTAAATGATATAAATGCATATACAGATATCCTATGTAAGAACAGCTATAATTAATTTTTAAAGAAATACAGTTTATTAGAAATGCAGTTTATTAGAAATACAGTTTATTAGAAATAATATACGTAACCCATTGATGTCTTTTTATTTTTTGGATATAATTGTTCATCAAAACTACTTGCTGTTTAAAGCGCATTGTCTTAAATTTAAATCTATAATGGATATTAATTCAATATTTTCAATTTTAACTTTTTTAATACGTTTATGTTTTCAAAAATAATTTGTAACTTTAAATGATGTAAATGCATATACAGATATCCTATGCAAGAACAACTATAATAAATTTGTAAAGAAATACAGTTTATTAGCAATAATATACGTTACCCATTGATGTCTTTTAATTTTTTTGGAAATAATTGTTCATCAAAACTACTTGCTGTTTAAAGCGCATTGTCTGAAATTTAAATATATAATGGATATTGATTCAATATTTTTCATTTTAACATTTTTAATAGGTTTATGCTTTCAAAAATAATTTGCAACTTTAAATGATATAAATGCATATACAGATATCCTATGTAAGAACAACTATAATAAATTTGTAAAGAAATACAGTTTATTAGCAATAATATACGTAACCCATTGATGTCTTTTAATTTTTTTGGATATAATTGTTCATCAAAACTACTTGCTGCTTAAAGCGCATTGTCTGAAATTTAAATATATAATGGATATTGATTCAATATTTTTTATTTTAACATTTTTAATAGGTTTATGTTTTCGAAAATAATTTATACTATGTTCCTGAAGCAAATGGTGCCCATTATCCTGTTTCTAATAGTGGAGTTGATAAAATTATATTTAATGGTATTCCAGACTATCTTTATGAAGGTAAGGTTTGTTTTAAATTATTTTATATATATATATATATATAACAAACCATTAAATCACAAATGCGTTATACATTGCAAGAACTTTTGTCTAAATTTATTTTTCTTTTTAA